CAGATAGACAGACAGACAATAATAGAAAGAGCTGAGTCCACCAAAAGTATGTATACATACCTCAGGAAAAGAAAAATTTGTATAAATGTTTTAATACTAAATTGTTGAGATATCATGAGATTAACACAAGTTACCTTTGGCCTCTGCAATTACAAGAGGTGCTCAAAGCGGTGGCCATGAGCTACCAGACATTTATTAGTACAGAAAACTGTTGTTTGGGCAGCCTTGGTCATTGAGATCGCTGCACGTGCATTTTCAATTTCTTCTCTAAGGGCCAGCAGCACAGTGGTTTTCTGCAATATATAGCATCCTCTAGGGGCCCCCATATGAGGGTAACTGTATCTGTTGAAAAAACATCATACTATTTTTCTTTTCCTGAAGTGTGCATACATTTTTGGGTGGACTCTGTGTGTGTGTGTGTGTGTGTGTACTATAAGGACTAATAAAAGTGGACACTAGAAGTGAAAGACAAAGGGAGACAAAACGAGCAAAGAGGGTAGGAGTGGAAATGAGACTTCTGTGACTATAAATTTTCATTTGATAATTGTGTAAATATCTTAATTAAACAACAGATTACATTCAAAAAGAGCAGGAAAATTCAAATTTGAAAACAAATTGAACCAAATGAATCTAACTAATACCTCCTTTTCATGAAGGGACTGTTAAAACTTGGCCCTTTGTTCTTTTTATTGCGTTGCCTGCCTTTTTCTCAGTTGTAGGAAAATAGGAGGACTTCATGTGGATGGCTATGTGTGCTTTGTGGAGCATGGGCCATTGCAAATATTTTCTCCCAGGCTCCAGCTTGCTTTTTCACATTCCATGTTTGTTGTTTCTGTTTGTCTGATAAACGTAAGCTCTTAATTTCAGTAAAGTCCAATTTATGTTAAGTATTTTTCTCTTTGCTAAGTAGGTACCCTATTATCTAAGAAATCTTTGCCTACTCCAAGCTACCAAAACAAGGATCTTCTATATTTTTTTCCTAAAGCTTTATTGTCTTGCCATTCCACAATTAGGTCAACAATCTATCTGGATTTAATTTTTTTAGTAAAGTGTAAAGAAGGCCCAGGATTGTTTTCCATATGGATATCCAGTTGATCATCATCACTTATTAATAGGTTCATCTGTTCCTGCAACCGTCATCTTTGTCAAAAGTCAGGTGAGTATACAGGTGAAGGTTTGTTTCTGACTGTCTGATCCAATCACACTCTTAAACTGTATTTTCACAGGATCTGCCAGACTAATATGAATGAGCCCTTTCTGTTATGCATTACTGGAAGGAAGCTGGGTGGGACTTTGATCAGATTTGGAAGGTAGGCTATATATCCACAGTCATGGAATTCTACATAAGCAGATAGATGCTGCTCTATTTAAAATGGGGCTATGTCCTGATGAAGCTATCTTAAATTGAAAATATCGTAAGTCAGAAAAGCATTTCATACACTTAACCTACCATATACTGTAGCTTAGTAATAGAAGACACTGCATAGTATCAGTTGTTTGCCTTGTTGATTTTGTGTCTGACTGGGAGCGGCAACGTACTGCTGCTGCCCATCATCTTTAAGGGAATATCAGGGGCCCAGGAAAGGACCAAAATTCATTTTTGCTAAGTACATATTCCTTTCTTACCATCACAAAACAGAAAAATCAAGAGCTGAACCATCCTGTACTTCAGAGACCAGCTGCGTAGCATCTGATCAGGGGCCCAATGCTTAGTAGAGAAAGTGGTGTGAGAGTGAGCCCTGACCAGAAGACCCCATGGCCATGTCACACACTGTCCTGTCCAGCAGCTGCTAGTCTGTGGAGTAAGGAACAGACCTGCTGAGGGCAATGTTCTGCAGAGACAGGTGCCATCCAACAGGCCGCGGTACACATACGGCAGAGTTAATTAGGTCCAGAAGGAATTAATGGATCCAGAAACTCAGGTGTAGAGGCAGGGGTGGTCTTGCCTAACCTCATTTGTGATGATCCATTGAGACTGTGCTTTCTGTGGATTCCTTACAACCAGGGCCAGCAGGCAAGAAAAGGGATCACTGCCTTAACAGGGGTATTTGACCCTGGCCAGTAGAGGGCGGGACTGCTGGTACACTGCTGGGCCAAGGAGGAAATTTACAGAACTCAGGTGGTCCCTGGGGCACTTCCTGTTACTCCCTTGTCCAGTCGTGACTGAGAAAGGAGAAGCGCCACCCTAACCTAGAAGAACACGGCTACCAGGGCCTCAGACACCTCAAGAATGAGTTTGAGTGAAACTAAGAGGGAAGCCCTGAGGCCAGAGAGGCGGCACCTGAGGAAGCAGGAAATTCAAAGTGGACTTTGGGCTGGTGGGGAGGAAGATAATGAATGCCAGTGGGGAGCCCTGAACATTGCAGACAGCTTGCTGTTAATGCTTCCTGGTATCTGATTTAACCACAAACCACATCCTTCTAAGGCAGCCCCCAGACAATGACTGAGCCCAGCAGAGACACCAGGGCCTCCTCTTCCTGTGGAGCCCTCCAGTCAGCAGTCCTTGCTCCAGAGCCGCTGGTTGGGCTGGCTTGGATTTTGTCAGATTTGTTGTGTGGACTGAAACTCTTCCTGCCCAGTCTGATCCTTTTTCCTCCTGTCTTTCATGACATTCCTCCCCACTGAACCTCTTGCTCCCCTAACTTTATCTGCAGATCTGCTTCCTCTGGGACTCAGCTGTCCCAGATGATTTTAAGTATAAACTCTAAGTTTAGCATCACGAAGGCAAACACTCCAAATACAAATGTTCCTTAGAAAACCACTTACAAGGGGTGATGAAATACGCAGGGACTACTTAAATAGCTTGTAACAGTAGAAGACACATTGCTATGTATCCTCCTCCAAATGCTCCCCCTTGCTTTGAACACATATCCCATGGTTCTTGCCGCTTTCTGAAGTGGTTTTGGAGCCCTCCTTTGTGAGTATCTTAGCAAGCAGTGATCAGTGGTGGATGGCTGGGCATGGTGGCAAAAGCCTATAATCCTGGTACTCAGGAGGCTGAGGCAGGAGGCTCACTATGAGTTCGAGGCCAGCCTGGGTTACATAGTGAGTCCAGGCCAGCCTGAACTATATAGAAAGACCTTGTCTCAAAAAATGAAATAAAACTATGGTAGATGCTGCTGTCGGGTGCCATCCAAGGGAACATTGGACTTATAAAACATTATGGCACCATCTTCACCCACCTATTCACCAGATCTGGTACCAAGCAACTTCTGACTCCTCCCCAAAATCAAAATGACCACAAAAGGTAACTGTTTTGAACTGATTCAGGACACCAAAGCAGCACAAATAACAACACTCATGAAATAAGATTTCCAAAACTTCTTCAAAAAGTGGAAAGAACATGGGATGAGTATATTTAAAACAAGGGGGAATCTAGGCATGGTAGGGCTCACCTGTAATTCCTGCACTCGGGAGGCTGAGGCAGGAGGATCATCACAAGTTCAAGGCTAGCTTGAACTGCATAGTGAGACCCTGTTTCAGAAAAAATCAAAATAACTACCATAATATTCATAAAATTTTAAAATAAGGCAAGGGGGAGTACTTTGAAGGAGATTAATGGCAATGTGTCTTTTACTCTAATAATTTTTTAATTTAACTATTTGTTTCATGTTTCAGTCACACCTCCTATTTATTACCTCAGTAGCTCTCTGTTGTACGTTCTGGGGCAAGGGGCAGTGGGGCTTTATCTCTTTAATGACTGCTAATAATTCTTTTGAAAAATGTAGGAAAAGTGAATCACCAATAAACTTGTAGGTAAAATCTACAGTTACCCCCAACACCTGCTTATTTTACTATTTCTCACAAAGCTATTTGAGGTGTATTGTATTTTTATTATCTCTTTCTACAGATGAACAAGTGGAGGTTGCCACAGTTGATGTAGTTACGTCAAAGAGTCAGCATCTGTACCCTGGAAAGCCTTAGCTATTAACCATTATACAATACTATTATCCACAGGTTATTTGTGCTTACAACCAAATAATCCTAACAGATATAATAGTCAGTTCCGGGAGCAAGTTACTGGCTATAGACCACCAGGGAACTGTGTACCTATAGAACGCCTAATGTGGCCCCACCTGAAATGATCATCTATGCTTCTGGAAAAGTAGCCTCATACTCCCTTCTTAAAAATATTGCTCTGATTTTTTGTTTTGTTGTTGTTTGAGACAGGGTCTTGCTATGCAGTTCAGGCTGGCCTTAAACTCACTACACGTGTAGCCTAGGCTGTCCCCAAATGTGTAGCAATCCTTCTGCTTCAGCCTCCAGAGCGCTGGGATTACAGGTGGGAGCCACTATCCTTGACTGATTTTTAATCATTATAAATTAGCTAATTCCTGCAATCTTTTCCAAACATGAAAATTCTCTTAAAATGTCTGGTTTTGCATATGTCCCCAGGGAAAAAATGAGACCTCGTTCCTGCTCCCTGGGCTTCTGACAACAGAGGTCAACCACGAGAGGATTATTAGCTACCTCCTGAAAGACAGCTCTTAGGGTAGCAAACGGTACGGCTTCTACAGACAAGGAATACAGAACTTCTTTTCCTTGTGTAATGAAAGAGGGATTGGAATACTTAGATATCTCTGATTTCTTTTCTAATTCTTATAACAATCTCAGTCCTGCAGCTACAAGAGTTAGGGGTTTTTATAGCATAGCAAATTGAAGAATTTCTGTTGTGACTTTCTGAAAACAAAATTCTGAGGTAATTTTTCAGTTATCAGTTGAATTTATAGGCTTCCCAAGCACCTTTTGTAAAAATCCAGTTATCGGGAGGAAGAAGTCCGCTTGCCAAATACTCTGTGCTGGTCTAACCAGATGTCACTCAGAGAGCGACTGGTGTACTGGAGATTCCTGTGAAAGTTTCTGGGACTCCAAATACCTCAAAAGCAGCTGTTGAAAGGCATGAGTAAGTAGAATATACCTTGTTTTAGAGCTATCCTGTGAAATCAAATAAATTCAATATCTCTTATGCTAGTATGAGAGCAGTGTCAGCAAACACATACCAGCAGTGCCTCAGACACAAGGAAGGTTGTGGAGGGGCTGAGGAAATCAGAGGGCGTCCGTGGATCTGTAGTTCCTCCCACCACCACCAGCAGAACCACCGGCAGGGTGTCTCTGTAGGACCAGAAAAGCCATGTGACACTAATGTTCGTGTGGCTAGTTTCTGATTTTCCTAAACCGCCTCACTGTTGTCAGCTAGGTAAGTGCTTGTTGAAAAAAGGTTATGACCTTGATTTCTAACAAATACTATGGAAAATGACCGATCACACACTCACTATCCTAGCAGCGTGGCGGGATCACAGAAGTGCACTTTAGAAGTAGCCACACTGCTGCTCCTGAAGCTTCGCAGCGATCTTCCCTTCAGCCCACCCAGGCGAGACAAAGGTCAGAGGCACAGAACATGGTGCTGTGCTGGGCAGCAGCTTTACTTACCTTCAGCCAGGGTATCAATCAGGGTCGGTTTTCCCAGACTGAAGCCAGCTTGTTTCAAACAGGAAGACTTTAAGGCCTGAGGAGGATTAGGTGCACGTGAAACAGTGAAGAAGCTGGGAGAAGCACATTTGAGTGTGGACCGATAGGAATTGCTTCCCAACAGTGTCAAGAACTGGCCTCCAACAGAGCAGCTACCTCTACTGTAACCAAGGAGACGGATGAGAGGAAACTGCGACTGGGACAAAAGATCCAGAACTCAGCCAAACAGTAATTTGGGGCTCGGGATACCCGGACTGCAACCGTTGCTCTCAGAGTCACACTGGCCCTGCTAGAGCTGCATCAGCAAAAACCGCACGCCCAGAACTCTGCCTTCACCCCTGGAGCGAGTAACTGACGCCACAGTGCCACCACAGGAGGCCGGGCCCTCCACCCAGACCTGCCCGCAGCAGCAGCAGGAGCAGCAGCAGCAGGAGCAGCAGCAGCAGGAGCAGCAGCAGCAGGGACACTGTGCAGAGCGCTGCCTTCCCAGAGTCCCAGGAGCCCATCTGGTTGGCCGAACTTAAATCACATCTGGAGCCTAAACTACAAGGGAATTTCTGGATAGAGTTTTTGGTAGCAAAGGAAGGCATCCTAGAAGGAAGGGGAAGGGGCTGAGCGTTGATGCGTCCTATAGTACTTAGCCCCGTCCCTGCGGCCTCGAGGATAAAAGAGACCGTGGGCTGTGGGAAACCATGGGTGAAGGGATCCCTGAGCTTCAAAACAGAAGCAGAGCCAGAGAAGAGGAGAGGAGAGAAGGGGAGGGGTGATGAGGAGGGAGAGGGGGAAGGAGAAGGAGGGGAGAGGAGAAGAGAGAAGGGTAGGGTAGGGCAGAGCAGGGGAAGGGAGGGGAGGGCAGAGCAGAGGGCAAAGGAGGGGAAGGGAGAGGGCAGGGCAAGGGAGGAGAGGGGAGGAGAGGGAGAGGAGGGGAGGGGAGGAGAGGGGAAGAGAAGGGAGGAGAGAAGAGGAGAGGAGAGGAGAAGAGAGGAGAGGAGAAGAGAGGAGAGGTGAGGAGAGGAGAGGAGACAGGAGGAGCTTAGCCCGATGGACCCATCAGGCTAGTCGGTTGAGGAGACAGCTGTGGTCTCCTTTCAGAATCCCTATCAAATGCTGCCCTCCGATGTTTGTAGAATAAACTGCTTTTGAAAAAATATTTGAAGCATGGCTTATTGGAGAATTTACCGCGCTGTAGTTTTCTAGGGTAAATAGTTTATGGATGCCTGACCCCCACAGAAACAAGGAAAACTCCACTGGACTGAACACCAAAAGAGATTCAAAATAATGTGGTCAAATGACGTCCGGAGCAAGTTTTGCCCAGGTGTTACTGACTCACACTTACAGGTGTAGGTTATTTTTCCTCCATGATCAGTGAGGAAAGTTTGAAGTTTTTCTTGTGGTTTGTGAAATTAGAAAGCAAATTGCCAATTAAATTATGGTTTTTACATAAGACTTCCAATAAAGTACTTTATTTATTGCCAGTGCTGTTAATTCTTCAGAGTCTGAGGCTGATCTGAGAGATACAACTCTTTTTTTTTTGGTTTTTTGAAACAGGATCCCACTGTGTAGCTCAGGCTTGACTTGACTTTTCTTTATAGCATACCTTCATAGACACCCCCTACCATAGCACTACCATGAATGGCAATTAGTGAGGAATACATCACTAATTCTCAGAACTCCATGTGCTAAGAGGAAGTAAATGTGCATCAACCAAAGTTTCTGAGTAAAGTATTTCCCAGTGTAACCAAGAAATGAAAGTTATTATGTTCAAATTTTTTAAGTCTACAGCTATCAAATGAGATCTGAAACACCTGCCAAAATTATGGACTAAAGAGTAAGATCCAAGGATCAAGACTATCCCATGCATATGCCCAACATGCTCCTGCCTCTGCATCCTTCCACTTCAGCCTACTTGGAACACTCTACTCCCCAATAACACACCCACTGGAGTATCATTCGCTCTTATCTTCCTTCCAGGGTCTATGTTCACAGGGGGTAAACCACAGTCAAGGCTTTTTTTGTCTTTTTCTCTCCTCCTGGTCATTTTGCGGTAAACTGTGTGTTGTAGTCAGGGTTTACAAGGTAAATAATTCAATACAGGACACATAATTTTATAGATTATTTTATAATATTCACTCAAAGAGTCAAATGCAAAAGAGTGCAGGAGATCAGCCCACACACTAGAGATCCAAAGAATCCAGCTGAAGACCTGGATCCCATGGCAATGTCTTATGCAAGTCTATATCAAGGATCTGCACTGGGAAGGCCCAAATGCCAGTGGTGGAAGATAGAAGTCTGCACCAGCAGGATGAAGGATCTGTCCCAGCAGGCTGTGGGATCTGCACTGGAGCCAGAAAGCCATGCTCAAAGTAAGGACCAGAGCTCCCCCAAAAAGAATCACAGCCATCCTCAGCAACAGTGAGGTCCTGAGCTCCTCCAATGATGAGAAAATCCAGGTTCCTATCAAGAAAGCCAGCATGATGAGCTTCTCCAGGAGAATCAACAGCACACCATCTTCCCCTCCTAGTTCTCTTTGTATGCTCTTGGCAATAATCCTGTTGGGCCCTCCACACCCAGCACCATGCTGATTCAGTTCAGCTGGGTGTTTCAGGGTGACCGTTAGTTAGTCCACCACACTGTGGAACTGTGGTTTAAAATCTGGATGGATGAAGATGAAGGAGACTAGGGCCATTTTGGACAACTATATCTGAGTTGTCTGTACTGGGTCAAAAGTACATTTATGAATCATATGGTAGTTTTCCATTTTGCTAATGTCACTTCAGTGTATGTCTTCTTTTATTGTTTTTTTTAAGTAGGATTTAACTATTCTTGGATCTGCCCAGCTAATTTCTGACAGGCCTGAATCTTCCTGATTTCTACTTGTAATAGGACTCAGGCTGGAGAAGTCAAGTAGATGAATGAGTAAAAGCCATCTGAGAACTGTCTCCATTCTGAGACCACCATCTCTGAGAACCTGTAAATATTTGGAAATACTTTGACAAACAATATCAAACTATCCAAATTTGAGGCTACAGCAGTAACTAAAATATCACAAGCTGGAGACACTCAGCAGAAAGCACTTCTTATATTCTGCTTATACAGCTAAATCTGCTTGCAGGTGTTAGATCTATTCCCATTCCCACCTCTCTCTTTTCAGGTCTCTAGTATTAAGAGAAGCATTTGCAAACAAGACAAGGCAGAGGCTAGAAAGCCCCCACCCCCTGCATGGCCTGGGGATTGTTCGGTGTCCTCTACCCACAGAACTGTTTGCTTTCTCCCTGGGGAAGAGATGGACTCATCTTCAAGAGGCAGGGATGAAAGGCTGCATAAAAAAACAAGCTTGAGGCTGTGTATGGGGTCAAGGCTGTGTGTAATCAGTCAGTAGGGGGCCCTGGTCTGCTGATCTGCTTCAAGGCTTTGGAATTTGACTTAAGAGATATCATCCTGCTGGGTTCACAGAAGAAATTCTTAGAGGCTAGAGGGGAGCTCTAGCCACAAAACTGAGGTCAGAGGCGGAGAAACACTGAGAAAGAGACTTTGTTGTGCTGTTGTTATGAGAATGAGAACAATAATAAGCCACAAGTATCCTCCCATCATTGTCAAATCTCCCAAGTTGTGTAGTTTAATCATAAGACAGTAAAATAATGTGGCTCTGAGAGTTAAATAAATGTAGGATAAACAATTACAACATTCATGAATAGGAGTTAAACAAATTATCTTTACAAGAGCATAATATGCAATTATTTTAAAATGAGGCAGTATACATATCACTGGTGGGTCTTAAATTGATACCATCTCTGTTGGGACAACTTTGCATTACAGATCAAAATGACAGATTCTCCTTCTTCTCCTTCTCCTTCTCCTTGTCCTTGTCCTTGTCCTTGTCCTTCTCCTCCTCCTTCTCCTCTGCCTTCTCTTACTTCTGCTTTCTCCTTCTTTTTCTTTGAGACAAGGTCTCACTATGTACTGTAGTTCAGGCTGGTCTTGAACTTATTACATAGCCTAGGCTGGTGTCAAACTCTTAGCAATCCTCCTGCCTCAGCTTCTCAAATTGTGGGGTTATAGCCATGCACCACCACACCCTGTTCAGACGCATATTCTTCTAATCTTGCATTCTGTTTTAAAGAATTTGTCTTATAGATATAGCCATAGAGGTACAAGACTATTTGTTGGCTGGGGATTTAGCTCAGCAGCACAGC